GAGCCATGATCCTGCCCTTGCACTTCAGCCTGGGCAACAGAGATCCTGACTCAAAAGAAAGAGACCAGTGTTAGGGTAGCATGTGGGGAAGGAGCTGCAGAGGGGTCAGAGGAGTCTTGTAGCTTGGAAGCCACTGTGAATTCCTAGATTTCGGGGGGGGGGGGGGAGTGGGGGGGACTCAGAGCTGAGCATGGTGCACATCTGTAATCCCAGCATTTTGGGAGGTAAAGGCGAGAGGATTGCCTGAGGCCAGCCTAGGTAACTTGGTGAGACCTTGTCTCTACAATAAATAAAAAAAATTAGCTGGGCATGGTGGTCCACGCCTGTAGTTCCAGCTACTTGGAAGGTGGAGGTAGAAGAATCCCTTGAGACCAGAAGCTCAAGGCTGCAGTGGCCATGAGCACGCTATTGCACTCCAGCCTGGATGACACATTGAGACTCCGAGTAAAAAAAAAAACGGAGGCTGGAGACTCAAGCCCGTAATCCTAGCACTTTGGGAGGCTGAGGTGAGAGGATTGCCTGAGTCTAGGGATTCGAGACCAGCCTGGGCAACTTGGTGAGACCTCATCTTTTTTTTTTTGAGTTGGAGTCTCATTCTGTCACCCAGACTGTAGTGCAGTGACTGCTCCCGGCCACCACAGCCTTGACCTGCTGTGCTCCGGTGATCCTTCCACCTCAGCCTTCCAAGTAACTGGAATTATAGGCATGCACTACCACGCCCGGCTAGTTTTTTGATTTATTGTAGAGGTGAGGTCTCGCCAAGTTGCCCAGGCGGGTCTCAAACCCGTGGGCTCAGGCAATCCACTCACCTCGGCCTCCCAAAGCAATGGGATTACAGGCTGAACCACTGAGCCCGGCCCCTCATCTTTACAATAAATAAAAAAATTAGCCGGGTATGGTGGTACACGCCCATAGTTCCAGCTACTTGGAAGGCTGAGGTGGAAAGATTGCCTGAGCCCAGCAGGTCGTGGCTGCAGTGGCTGTGAGCATGGCACTGCACTCCAGCTTGGGTGACAGAGTGAGACTCCAACTCCAAAAAAAAGGGATTCAGAAAGATGCTATGAGTAGGGGTGTCCTCTGGCGAGTCTGGATGCAGCAAGGTATGTATAGTTCACAGCCTCTCTTTCACAGTCTCTGCTGAGCTTTTTAGAGTTGCCAGGTGAATTTTTTTTTTTTTTT